AAGTACAAATGCGCTTTACACAATTGATGTGTGTATGGATTGTGATAAGAGTTGTATGAGCCCCTAATAAAATGTTTAAGAAAAGAAAAAGAAAAAAAAAATAAGCGGCTGCAACAATTGGTTCAAAGGTACAGCAATCGTGAGAATGGCTTGGGTTGGAGCAATGCTTTCCTCTGCTGCCCGTGGCAGGACCAATTCAAGGGCACTTGACAACAGGAAGATAATAAATTAGTGAACTGTGTACACTACTGAAGCCCTGGTGGTGTAGTCGTTACACAATGGACTGCGGTTTGCAGAGTCTGCTGTTCAAAGCCACCAGCAGCTCCAAGGGAAAGACTGGACGAAGGGCTCCCACAACAGTCGAAGCGTCTCGGAAAACCACAGGGGGCCTATGAGTCAGCACTGACTCCATGGCAGTGAGTTTCTTTTCGGCTTTCTGATGTCCTACTTTGTTGAGCAGCAACTGGAGTCTTAAAAGCTTGTGATCAAACACGTACGGTTCAACTACTGGTCTCTTGCTGTCCAAAGGAAAGAACAGGGAGAAAACCAAAAAATAATAATAATAATACATGGAAGCAATTAGTCTACTGGACTAATTTACGCATCAGTCTCCATAACCCTGAGATCAGAAGGGGATGGTGCCTGGCATGCGAATGCAGAACAAAACACACAGGTAGGATCCCCCAAGGCTATTTTCCCTAGTCACCCTTCAGGTCTGGAACTGAACTCACCTTATGCGTTCTTGATAATCTTTCATTTACGTTGAAAGGAGCAACATTCATCCAAGAACAAAGTTCACAGGGTGAGGAAGGGAAGAAGGATGGGCACAGGAAGAACAGGGGGAAGTGATGACAGATGGAGGCGTTAGCGATGCATGAGTTGAAACAAAAAGTGTAGGCATTGTTTGATGTGAAACTGACTATTCACTCTGTAAGCCATCACCTATTTAAAATAAAATGTTTTAAAAAATGATTAACAATTAAAACATAAACTTAAAAAATCAGTTACTTAATTTTTATATGGGAAGGTTAAATGTTTGAAATTCTATTATCAGCATCCACAGAAACAAAAGAATTTGTTCTAGCACAACCACTACTCCAACATTCTGATTGAAAATGCTTCCTGCTACTTGATCTGTAACACATCTCTGAGTCCTGATGGTGTCGTGGGTTAGGTGTTGAGCTGCTAACCACTCAGTCAGTTGTTCAAACCCACCAGCAGCTCCCTGGGACAAAGATGAGGCTGTCTTTGATTTACAGTTGGGGAAACTCTATGTAGGGTCACTATGAATTGGGATTCACTCAATGGCAGTGGGTTGGGTTTGG